ATTCTCTGCTCTCACTCCTCTGTGTCTTTCCATTTCAAGCACAGATTTTTTTTTTTCTGTGAATTTGGAGGAAATGAACTGAAAAGAAATGAAACTGAAGACACAGGCACCACGGGCAGGGTTGGCAGAGTTTAACAACTGAACAAGGCCACTTTTATCACCTTGACTTTCTTTCTGAATTTCCTAGCATTTTTCCTCCAGTGGCATTCAGGCTGTGGCATTTTTATGGGGAGGTCGCTTTGAAAGTTGTGACGGTTGGTTAACAGACAAGCAGAAAGAGACATTTGGGAAGTAAAGAATGACAGCTGGACCTGGCAGAGGGGCTGACACTCTTAATTCTAGCATTCAGGAGGCTGAGACAGGAGGGAAGAGAGTCAAGGCCAGCCTTAGCTCTGTAGTGAAACCCTGTCTCAAAAAAGAGAAAGAGAAAGAAGAAAAAGAAAGCAGGAGATTGGTACTGGGAGTGTGACTCAGTGGTAGAGTGCTTGCCTGACATGCTCAAGAACTTAGGTCTAAACCCCAGTCCTTGAAAATAAAAGTCAAAAGTGACTGGAGAATAAGAGGAAGGAAGAAGTGACGGGAAAGCATCTATACCCTTCCTCCATTCCTGTCTTTGGCAGGGAGTTGGTAAGAAACCCACAGGTGGTCAGCCGAGTCAGACACCTCATCACATCAGAACCTGACATTTCTCTTCCACATCCTAATTTCTATGTGGTTTGTTTTCCCCTGATCAAGACTTCTATGTGATGGCGGCTATGGGCTCTATTGGGTGTTTGATTGTTGTTGATGTTATTTGTTGTTACTGTCTTATTTTGAGATGGAGTCTCTCATACATCATTGGCTTCAAACTTGTCACCAAAAATGACCTCTAATTCTTGATCTTTCTGCCTTCAATTCTCAAGTGCTGGGATTACAGCCTTGTCCTTCCACACTTAGCTACCAGAATTTCTACTTCTACCAGAATTTCTATTTCTACCAAAATTTCTATTTCTGCTAGAATTTCTATTTCTACTTGTTTCTGGAGCCAAAAGAAATTTCAGGCTAATCCCATGATGCAGTTTAAGTCATGTGACTTTCCTACTAAATTCTTCCTCCGAGCTTGCTGACCCAGCATCTTTTTTATTTCTCTGGTGATTATTTCTCTGGTGAGGGAGCATGGGCACGTGGGTGCGCTTGTGTGTGCGTGCGTGCGCACATGTGTGTGGAAGCCAGGAGTTAACACTGGGCATCTTCCTCAATCTCTCTTCACCTTAGTTTGTGAGACAGGGTGGCTGAACTGGCTGGCCGGCAAGTCCCACGGATCTGTCTCGAACCCGGGGCTGTGCTGGAATACTGGGAATCCGAACTGGAATACTGGGGATGCGAACTCAGTACTGGGGATCCGAACTCAGGTCTTCATGATTGCACAATAGGCACTTTACCAACTGAGTCATCCCCCCAGCCCCCCAATTGTTGTTTCTTTTAAAACATATCAACCAGAGTACTCCACAAAAATAAATGAAAACAACGCCTATAAGAAAAAAACAAGAAAAGAAAAATCGGAGAAAACTAAGTTTTGGGAGCATTTTATTAGTTATTTTATTTTTATTTCCACATTTGTATCATAAGCTTCAATTACAATGACACCTTCTCAAATGATTTCGGGAAACGAAAAAAAAAAAAAAAGTATTTACCCACATAAATATCCCCGGAAATATTTTCCACGGTTGTGAACATGTACCTACGGCTCGCTCCGTCAGCAGCTTTGTTTGTTCTTCCAAGCAGGTCTCATTTCACTTTTAAAACACAGCCTTTTTCTGGTTTTGGAAAAACGTCTTTAAAAGCAGGAACAAGCGCTTCTCTTGAGCGGAGCACATGAACGGCTTCTCTGTCGCCTCTCTTCTGGAACGGTAACAGGCTGACCCTGATTCCACTCCTCTAAATAGGGTAACGGTGGTTTGAGCAGGAAATCTAAATCCGGAGTCCGAGGTAGCCCAGTGATTTTCCAGGTCAAGGCAACGGGAGAAAGCAGAGTTGGGAGGCTTTGCAGTCCTCTCCCAGGTACCAAGAGGCCCCGGCGCTCGCTGGGAGAAGTCTGCCACCTAGTGGACCATAGAGGCCACTGACGCCACTTGTAACCCTTAACTGGCCTCAAAAAGTGCGTGGAAAAAACACATTGGACCCCATAAATATGTACAGTGACTGTGTGTTATTTTAAAATAACAAGTTTAAAAAGTAAATGTGTCTACAGACAAATACAGCAAAGTTTCATGGTCCAAAGCTTCTATTTATGCCAAGAAGATTAACAGAATAAATAGTACACACCACCGGGTGGTGGTGGCATTCAAAGCCAAGAAACAAAATGTTCCTACTAATGGAAACTGCGCCCGCAACTACCACGTAGAAGTCTCCTCATACAGTAGTGTCATGCAAAGTGGGGTGTTTTTATTTAACAACCCTCTCATTTTGACAGCGACCTGTGTATCCTGGGTGCTTTTTTTCTCTACAGTGAATGAATACTTAGCCTATGTCTCAATGATTAAAGTCACACGGTTGTAAACTCCCATGCAAAGAGTATTTTCTAACTTGTCACATCCATGTAATAAATCACTCATACTGTCTTTTGGAAATAGAGTGATGTGAAATTAATGAGGCCAGAGCTAGAGCCCAGGCTGGGCCAAATGACTCTATTCATGCTTTCTTCTTTTCATTCCATTTGTCACATTTCTCCAGGTTATACTAAATAATTGCTATTAGTTTCTATTAAAGAGGCACAGGCACCATATATATTTGACAGCCTAGCCCAGACCCACCCCCTCCCAACTCTAGGCTTACTTTCCAGTTGCGGCTCTAATAGCTGGGTTGTGGGGGGGGGGTGCCATTTCCCTCTCTTGGCTTCTACTTGGACACTGTCTACTGAATTCTGTCTGCTGTGAAACCACACTGCCACATATCAGTGACACTTGGGGACTTGGACGTTCAGTGGATAAAATCTGTTGTTTATGCTAAACAAATGAAAGTAACCACCCCTCTGGGTACTGAGCTTCATGCCACATGTCACTGGAAGCTTCATCCTGAGTCACAGAGCACCAGACTAGAGACAGTTTGATATTCAGTCTCTCTATATCTTCCCTTTCCTCTCATCTCCAGCCGCCAGTTAGTATTTTCTCCCCTGTGGTGTTTAAATGTAGAAACAGAAGTCATTTTCAGTGAAAGGCTCTTCTGTCGTTGGGAACACCCACATTGCCTGTAGAGTAGACTCCAGGGGTCCTAGAGAAGTGAGCAGAATTCTCTCAGCATCATAGAGGAAAAGGGTGAACCCAGTGGTTGGAAAGGAGACAGAGGTTGCCAGATTCTAGTCCTATGTCATCCCAACTAAGCCCATTCCAAGCATGGCATAGTGACTGGAATCAGACACATGAAGACTGGTATTAAAGACCTCTTGGCACTGACTGATGTGGACCCTGAGTCAAAGAGGCCAAGATTCACACATCACTGCCTGGTCCTTAAGTGATGGGGGTTTTCTGATAGGTTTAAATTAATTGCATGACCATGTCGCGTGCTAAGATTCAAGTGGGCACCTGCTTCAAGATGACAGACTGGCGGGGGAGTGGGGGGTGTGCATGTCTGCAGGGGACACTTAGAGGTGGCAGGATTTAAACTAATCTGCCCTGAGCCATGACTGTGGCTGGTTTGTAGAGCCCGTGTACAGAGATTAGTATAAACTCATTGGAAGACATGGCTGTCTAGGGGGCGTCTGGAGTCTGTGGCAGGCTTGTTCTGAAGGGTTCTCAGAATGCATCAAAAATCCCTGGACAGTTCCACTCCATGCCCACCCTCCCGAGTGACAAAACAAACCACTTGTTTACTATGGATGGTTTTGTGGAAGACAAATGGGGAAATGGAGGTTTTTATGTCTCTAAATTAATTCTCTTTAAAAATTTGCCTTCTTCCTAGAGATGGACAGGCTGACAGCGGGGGAGGGGAGTGGAGGGGGGAGGACACTATTCTACCTGCAGTGGAAATGATGTCTATCTGAAACGGGCCTTCACCCACTGTTTCCAATGACGAAACCCCGTAGTAGAGACGTTTGGATCTTATTTAGGGAACTTCACCAAAGAAGTGCTGCTATTGCAGAACCAGGCAGCGGCAAAGGAGAACTAAATAGCTAACGGCCTTGCTGAATCCCTCTCCATGTCTTCCGTGACGATCCTCCTTCGGGCTCACTTCCCACAGCCCTGTGCATTGGCCTGGCCTCCTTCGTCTCCCTTCCTGTGGCCACTGCTGCTGCTGTATGCTCTACCCAACATTAGCAAGGCTTGTGCCCATCCATCTCCACACCCTTGTTCCATTTTTTATGAATCAGAGTCTATACTTACATTTAATTTGCATTAGAATACTTCTTAATTACTTACTCGGAAACTTGCTCGTGTTTTGTCTCACACAGTTTCCAGGTAAAAACACTCCCCACCAAGATGTGTCATGCTAATCCTACAACCCTGGCGTCTTCTTGGTACTGGAAACCCCTTGGGCCGTGATCCTCACTCCTAAGTGTAGACTCGGAGTACCATGTGAAGCATGTCTTCTGCCCAAATGCGTGATACCATCGCTGCTTAGGGAAGGCGAAAGATTAAGAAAGACTCTATGCAGCCAGGTGTGAAAAGCCTTGTTTGAACCACTGACAGTGGTATAAATGTGTGGCAACAAAAGAGAATGTATGACTTATCAATTCTTTTCCAAATGAGTGTCCTTAGTTAGCTCTGTCAACTGTCAGCTAAGAATCACCTAAGACGGGAGTCTTGATTGAGGGGCTGGCCTGTGGGCATGTCTGTGGGTGACTGTCTCCGAAGTCAGTTGTAAGAAGGAACAGCCCACATGGTTCCTGCTTCTGCCCTGCCCTGACTTCTCCCCATGGCGGAGTGTGTCCTGTAAGGGGAAGGAACTTTTTCATCCCTGTGTGCTCTCATTCGGAGAGTTTTGTCCCAGCCACGGAGAGGACACTAGGACAATCAGAAAACAAGTCATTTTACAAACAGACATACATCTTTAATACAAATGAGCAGTAACTGTGTAGCAATGTCAGAAATAAGCTGTCTTCAATGAGAGGCTTTTTTCCCAAAAGATACAAGATGCACAAATAAATCAGTGATACTTTACACATGTTCATGGGGAGGCACTTTAATTTCATAATGAACTATGAATATTTTCATAGTTTTTGTCCATTTGAAATTCCAAAAACATTAACAGAATTATTCATTTCCATAATTGTTATGAGTAAAAAAGGAATGAATCCTGTACCTTAATATTGTCATTTTATGCATTACTCAAAAGTACAATAACCCTGAGGACAAAGGAGAGTTGCTCCCTTTCCTTACACAGTATAAAAAACTGAGACAACAGCAGGTGTCCCTCACTAACACAAACCAAACTATGTTGTAGAATGAGTCTCATAAACACAAGTCCATCTTGTCTCTTTGGTTCAAAAAATAAAAGAGGTAGGCTAGGGTCAAAGATTCCCATTTCACTAGATTTTTCAAAAAGCAATTATAACATAAATTACCAGAAACTAAATGAGTATATGGACTAAATCTTAAAATGTTAAGAATGTGTGTGTGTGTGTGTGTGTGTGTGTGTGTGTGTGTGTGTGTGTATGGTTTTTTGAGACACGGTTTCTCTGTATAGCTGTGGCTGTCCTGGAACTCATTCTGTAGACCAGGCTGGCCTTGAACTCAGAGAGTCACCTGCCTCTCCCTCCACAGGCAGGTAAGAATATTGAATATCTTCTTATAGAAGAAATAAGATTTTTCTAAGTTGTAATAAAACAAATCATAAAAGATCATTGACTACAAAATCAGCTTCAATAAAAATTTTAAGTGCTGTTGATATTACAAATGTCCTGCCATCTTCCTAAATCTTGAGGCAAGTGAAAATGTGGATGTGTATGTTTGCAGATTGAGCCTTTCATTCAAATACATACAATGAATATATACTGCTGTTGAAATGTGCTGGTGTCTTAGCTTTGAGCCACTCCATCTGCAAAGCACAGGTTCAAAAGACTTCAACCGTAAAAGTGAAATGAAGGTGTTATTTACCTGAAATCAGCACTCCAGTCATGAAAAGAGCAATTTCAGATTGCTGTGAAGGTCCCAGGGAGCCTTCCTGATTAAGAGAATTTGATTAAAAAAAAAAACAAAACAAAACAAAACAAAACCAAGACACTCTCTAGGAAATGGTACAAGTCAACGGTTTTGTTCACAGATGTTTTCGAAAGCAATGGATCTACCAAATAACTTGTATCAATAATTTAACGACATATGACAATCAATGTCTAAAAGTGGGGACCAAATAACAATTCAAGTAGAACAGAAGAGTGTCCACCGAAATAAATATTATCTCACTGCTCCTCCATACACAAATTTGGCTACTATAATTCATCCTTATTGTGCTTACAGATGAGGATATAAACTGTGCAAGATTGATTTTAAGTACAGTGATTTTTTTCTACTAATGTTCCTGTAGGAGAATTTTACATCTATAAAGATATCCAAAATATATAGAACAATTTGAGTCCCAAGGCTTTCTGATCATTTTGGGTATTTTTTTAAAAATTTGGGTATAAACAAATTGACATAAACTTGGACCAATCAGAACAAAGATTAGTGATTTATAATTCTACCACACAAAAATGATTTCAGCTTAAGCAAGTACATTTTCAGATTTAGGGTGCAAGGTGATATAAAGTACAATTTTGTGGCCTCTTCAACACTTATTGAAACTGTGATTTTGAACATGACTGAAGATAGAAGACTGAGTCCAAATGCTTGAAGTGATTGCCGAGTCTCTTCCCTTTGGCTGGGGAAAAACAGCTTCTTCTGCAACAGATGTGCTGCAATCCCAGAAGACCCTGGAGAGCGAGTGAGCGCGTGTGCGCACGCGCGCTGACAACTTTGGTCATCGTGGCAAAGACGGCTTGGGCGCCTCACTTCCGAGCCACTCCCAGCGTCTGCTTCATGTTTTCGTACACCACATAGCTGATGCCGACGGCAGGGAGCACCTTCATGAAGTTTGGGGTGATGCCTCGGTAAAGTCCTGGCACCCCTTCTTTGGAGACTATTCGCCGAAAAAGACCGACCATGTTCAGCTGCGGGGTCCCTTCTACCATGGCTAGCAAACAGATAAACAAACAAACAAACAAGAAAAGGCAAGTGAAACCGCAGGAACCAGGTTAATCCGATATTCAAGCATGCCTCATTATTATTGCAACAGATAATTAGGGATTCAGATTGGCATCCGGAATACAATGGGCCGATAAAAATCAATTACAAAAGCAACCCTCTTCGTGCATCACCCACCAGTGAGTTACAATGATGGCAGCTCTTTACGAATGGTTGTTCTAGGTTAATTACTTCCCGTGCTAGCCCTTCAGGATAAGTGTATACATTTCATAATTGGGCAATTAGGAACTTGTCCTGAAACCCTAGTTAGCTAGTAGCGAAACCAAGAAGCTGTGGCTGATGCTCAAGCCCGCCACTTTTAACCACATCACTCCGTCACAGCATCCTCCCCAAGCCCTGACTAGAATGGTTCCATTTTGGATAATAGGGGAAGGGGAGATTTGGAGAAGTTTAGACAGAGCATAGGAGACCTGGGCCTTGTAATTATCTCAGGAGGGGGAGAGATGAAGAAAGGAGGAAGAAAAAAAGAAGGGGGGAGGAGGAAGAGGAGGAGGAGGGAGAGGAGGAGGAGGCAGCCCTGTATTGCTGGTACAACAAAGGACGAAGGCAGGACCGGGCATGGGGGAGGGGACCGTGGTGATTTGGGGATGTGATTATTACCCACAGGGTACTAAGGGGCTGGAGATGCCCACATGTTGACCAGCTATTTTCTTCAAATTGAAATATCCCCCACAGGATCGAGGAGACTTCAGGAAATAAATAAAACCTACCAAGCTCAGTCAGCCTCTGTAACTAGCAGGGTGGCAGGACCCCTCCCCACTCCCCGAGGTTAGGTGAGCAGTTATAACTGCTGCAGATGGGAGGCGCCAGCACAAGTTTCTGGCAGGTTACGCAGGGAGCTCCAGGGGTTTGGCTTCCGCGGCTGGTCACTTGCACTGGGTGCAGGGTAGGGTGGGGTGGGGTGTTGGCGAAGCAGCTGCCTTGGAGTCACTCGAGCCCCTTTAAGTAGCTGTCACTCAACTCCAGTCATAACCCCGGCAAACTCTCCAAGGCACTATGCTAGACGTGGGGGGAACCTGTTCCTTCCGTCTGTCCTTCCCCTACCTGGGTGAACAGACAGGTCAGCTCACTCTAGCCTCCACAGGAAAAGTCGCCCAGCAGCAGAGTGGGGGTGAGGGAACTCAACCTGAGGCACGGGACGATGGCTAAAGACTTCGGAATTCCCGCTGAGAACTTTGGAATTGACACTGGAAACCCTGAAAACTTAGAAAAAACGTCTGAGGAGATAAGTCATGAGTGGGCCTGGATGAAGAATGGCAGATCTTGGCCGCTGGGCTGGGTCAGGACTTGAGCTCAGAGGAAGGGGAGGCTCACTGTGCAGCAGTGTCAGTCCCTGAGTGGGTCTGAACTGCAGCTCCATTCCCTGTCAAATGTATAACCTTACGGACACTCCTTCACTGTTTTTGCCTGTTAGTGCTTTGTCAAATGTGGATGATATTAGTATCAAGCTCCCCAAATGGTCACAATGGCGAGATGACCAACCGCAACACATTTAGTTTGCTATTTTGCATTCCTCTCAGCCCCTCAAATACGCCACTCTGCGGGCCTGTTCCCAGCTAGCTCCCACCGCATTCCCAGGCTTCATCTGGAGATGGGGTGGAACTCACGCCATGGGGTGTTTTATAAAGGGCCATCTTCTGGTTGAACCCATGTCTTTCCCGCTCTCCAGTGACCGCATTCATGCCTGACTTGTTGCGTTCTCTAACCCTAGCACCCATCCGACAGGTGCCCGGTCCCTGATGACTCAAAAGTGTGCAGACCAGTGACTGACTGCTTGGTTGAAGGAGGGGTTGGGAGTGGAACCACAGATGCCCAGGACTCGTTCAGAAGGGAAAGTGCAATAGATGAAGGTGACCAGGGAAAAAGAAGAACAGAAAAGAAAGTCAAAGAGTATGTCATGCTTTCAAAGAGTAGGCAGCAATAAATGCCAGGAAGCAGCAAGAAGAGAGTAGTGTTTAAGTGGCAGGAGAGTCAGGACAGGGCAGCCTAGGAGCCAGCGGAGGGAGTGCCACAGAGAGGGAGTGCCACAGAGAAAAGGGCAAAGTGCCAAGCTTAGGGTCTAAACAGCACTGATGAACAGTCCAGTCACCACTTTGAGAATTTAGCAAACGCCAAATTCTTTACACATATTCCTGTTAATTCTTTTTGTCCCTCTTCATGGAAGACAAAATGAAAGAGAGATGTGGAGCAAAGACCTAAGCCCAAATCTGCCAGATGTCAAACTTTATGCTCTTAAAAAAGCATGTGATTGACACGAAGTGTTACCACACCCACCCTGGAATGCAGACTCACCTTGGGCCTGCATTCGAGTCCTCACCAAAGCCAGGGGGTAACTGGCCAGCTGCCCACAGGTGCTGGACAGGGCCCCACAGCTCAGTAGCACCACCACACCGGGGTTGACAGAGTCTTTTGCAAAGTTCTCCAGCCAGTAAGACTTCAAAAGCTGCCCCAGAAACAAAGAAGCCAGTCAACAAAGGAGATACTCAGCCGTCATTCACTCAACATAAACATCTTCAGGGCCGTTTCATGTAGTTAACTCTTTAAAAGTAAAATATTTTAATCATAAACTATATATGCTAATACATTTTTTAAAAGCCTATATACCAAGTTGTGCTGATTTGAATGAGAATACCCCTGTGGAGGTTTGAATAGGAATGGCCCCCATAAACTCATGTGTTGGAATGCTTGGCCCATAGGGAGTGGCACTATTGGAAGATTTGGCCTTGTCGGAGTAGGTATGCCCTGGCTGGAGGAAGTATGTCACTGTGGGGGCTGAGACTTTGTGATCTCAGAAGCTCAAGTCAGTCCCCAGCTGCTGCCTATGGATCAAATGTAGAACTCTCAGCTCCTCCTCCAGCACCATATCTGCCTGCACGCCACCATGCTTCTCACCATGATGATAATGGACTAAACTTCTGAAACTGTAAGCCCGCCTCAATTAAATGTTTTCCTTTACAAGAGTTGCTGTGGTCATGGTGTCTCTTCACATTCCCAGTTATCTCTCTCTGACTCTTACTTGTGGATAAGGGTGTGAACTTTCAGTTACCGCTCCAGCACCATGCCTGCCTGCCTGCTGCCATGATCCCGGCCATGTTGGTCATGGACTCACCCTCTGAAAATGTAAGCCCCAAATAAACATTTTCTTTTGTAAGTTGCCTCGGTCATGGCATCTTATCAGAACAATAAAAAAAGTAACCAAGACTCTCGCTTAATTTTTTAAATTTGTTTTTGTTTTTGTTTGTTTTATAGAATTGTATTTCTCAATGGAAACCTTGTGGGCTAGGTTGTTACATTCCAAGTACTAAGACTAGACAACAACAGAAGGACCCTGCCAACCAAGAACAATATATTGACAAAACTGTCTTTTGAATATGAAGGAGAAATTAAGAGCTCGATGGACAAGTAAAAACTGAGAGAATGTACCACCACTAGACCTGCAAGAGATGGCAAAGGCATCCTTCAATCTGAAACAAAAGGGCAATAAGCAGCAGCAGGAAACGTGAAAAGCCCATGGTAAAATGAGTAAAGAGGAAATGATGGTCTTCCGATATTGTAATACAGGCATGTAGACAACTTTGAAATCTGATACAGAATTCAAAAATGAAAGCATGAGAATTCATTGTAAATCCATGTTAGGGGACTCACTATGAAAAGATGACTTTTGATGACTGCTTGTCATCAAAACAGAACAGGGACACCCAGGGGTAAGGAGTGGCTTTATGTACAATTCTGATTGACGAGATAGATTTTTGCAGTGTCAAGATTTTTAGATTGGAGGGACACTGGCTTTGTAGGAGGAGTTTGGGAGTGCTCCCTATGTTTCTATCTTTTAAAGTAAATTTTATATGAAGAGTTCAAGAATCAGTAGCAATCACTTGTCATTGTTACAGAGAATGCACATGACTGCAAGTTATTTTATAAAAATTAGGACACAGAGCTGGGTAGGTGGAGAAGGAAGGGATCTATGAAAAAGTGAAAATGAGTATCATAATAAATAAATAATCAATATATTTAAAAATAAGTCTTCTGAGATATAATATATAATACATATATAATAAAATAAGTCTTCTGGGTGGCTTCCATTACCTGCCTTCCTTCCTGAGCTGGGGCTCAGCTCCCTCCTACGGTGTGTGCTGACTCACGTCTGTCACAGCATGTCAGACAATCTGAGTTTCTCTTCAGGCTTGCCCATCTCCTCACCAGACCTTTGGGTTCTTAAAGGCCCTGAGTCCTTCTTTCACTCAGTATCTAAAGCAACGGTTTGAATGTAGTGTGTGTTCAGTAAATGTCTGTCAGATTCCTAAGTTAAGGGATCCATGTGGCAGGGGTGACCCACAGTTTTTGACCTGAGTGGCAGGGGTGACCCACAGTTTTTGACCTGAGTGGCAGGGGTGACCCACAG